CATGTTGACCATGTCATAACAAAAGCACGCAAAAGCCTGTCAGCAATGAGGGTCCTGGCCGCCGCTAACACTTAGCAGAGACTGCTTCTGCTTCTTGTACTTTCTCCCGTCGAATATTTCCTTGCCATCCTCACTGTCAGCCGTACTCAGATTGAAAGACTTGAGAAGGTGCAAAATGAAGCAATGCGCATTATTCAATGGTGCACTGGAGACACCTCTTGTGTAGCAATAAGGTACCTTCTTGACTTCCTACCATGAACTACAGGATCAAGATCTGAAGGGCTCGTGCACATCTCAAAATATGCTCAGATCTGAAGCGCCCTTTGCACCATATGCTCTTCAAGAAAAAGGGCAATAGGCTTAAAAGGGGCAAATCATGGCTGGGTAGGGCAATGGATGACAGCATGCAGGTTTGCAGCCTTACAGACATCCATACAGTTGAGAAGTGGATACCAGCATCTAAAGCGCACAATCTTACATTCTCCTGTCGAGAGCAGAATCCAGCTGCTGTCAATGCCGAGGTATGCGCGCTTATCAGTGACAAGTCAGATGAGACAGATGTTGTGATCTTCACAGTCGGGTCCGTTATACGAGGACATAAGAGTGCATGGACATTTACAGCTCACTCTTCGGGCAGAACAGTTCAGGAAGCCAGCGGAGCCTTCTCCATGGCCACCAGCAGCATGACGATGGAGGTGATGGAGGTGATGGCGGTGACACGTGCTTTCATGTGGCTAGGATCACAGGACTTTTCCCGCGTGTGTGTGCTGAGTGGTTGTTGAGCATGATCAGGAGGGTTGAGGCAGGCTGGTTGCGCAGACAGTGGCTTGAATCGTTGAAAAACCCTCCTGTGTGTGCAGTTACTTTCATATTCGTCCCAGGTCATGCAGGCGTTGTTGGTAATTAGAGAGCTGATAGATTGGCACATGCTTCATTAATTGCAGATGGCAAGCCCATGGATCATTGCCCCTAGAGAGCTAGGACGTTCTGAGGATTTTGGAAGCAACATGTCCACAACACTGCTAATAATTAGGAGTAAAGATCGGCACAGCCAAACATGAGAAACACACTGGACGCACACGAAGTCTTGTTAACTAACATATGACTGGTATTATTAACCGCACGACGCTGATGAATATGTTGAGAGGGGGAATCTGAGCGCCTATAGATGTGTCCGGAGTGCTGTGAAGATAATCTAACTCATAACTCACAACAGTCCTTTTAAACTGGCAGCCAGCCGGCTACATGTGGCCCGCTGAGGCCTATTAAGTGGCCCGTGGATCATTACCAATTATATTGTTCTAGTGATCTTTTTATGCTGGGACTCAGACCTCTGGCCCGTGACGATCCACAGTTTCAAAATGGTGGTCTATGTGTAAACTTGGTTAAATAGACTTACACTACAATGTCCCTATTATTGTCACATGTACTGAGGAGTTTACAGGGGACATTTTAAGTTCACTAATGTGTCATTATTTCCTAAGGGCTAAGAAGCAAATACCTTTGTAAACACAAAAATACAGAGGTCTGCTACACAAACTGATATAAGCTGATACGGAGACATGTATGTTGAGACTATGAAGCCGCGTTCACAACTATTAAAGCAACAACGTCCGCGTCTACTTCAATAAAGGAGATCATGTACAAACACGCTACATTGATTATTTACATATGTATATTATCCTTCTCGAAAATCATGCTCTAGGAAGCAGATGAAGATAAGCGAGACTGGATAACAAACTGACTTCAGTCTTGATTGGACGGTTTGTAATATTGCAACATTTGTTTGTAAAATAGCTCCCCCCTGGCATATTCATCCTGGTTATGCCCAGACATCTAAAGCCATTTATGCATTAATATTATTCCTTAGTTCATTTTTAACCGATATTACCAGCTAAAGTAGCAGAAATAGTAGCACCTGCAGTTAAAGTAGTACGACCCCAATGCATTTGCCTAATTTAAGAAAAAGCGTTCACCTAACAAACAAAAAGAACAAAAATAAAGAGGGTGAAAAAAAAAAAATAAACTGAAAAATACATCGTGAATTGGATTGGACAAGGATAAATAATAAAGGGAAAACACACTCTAAGCTGCTTGAAACATTGACGGATTTAGAGTGACTTGACTGAATGTAAGGGATATCTTGCACTGGGTGGTAAAGATTTCAGAAGGATAAAACGAATAAAGTTTCACAGGGAATTATTACATAAAGTTAAATATGTATATACAGGTGATCTGGGTTGTGATTGTACTATAATATTTGGCGCCATACATTTTTAATTTATTGGAGTAGGTAACACGATTTTTTTCGGTCAGATACATTTTTGTAAGGAACAGTTAACCATGTATAAACAACGGACTGGCATTTTTAGATTCTTTACCCAACAGTCCACAATACCTACTTAATTCCAAACTTTGTTATAAATAAGGTACTTTGGTGTCATTGAAAAAAAAAAAAAAAACCATGTACTGCCTTCATATTGTATACTTCACAACAAGATTGTGATATCTCATGAAACGTCGTGGCATGCCTTGGCAAAACTTCACAACAAGATTGTGATATCTCATGAAACGTCGTGGCATGCCTTGCCAAAACTTTACAAACAAAAAAAAGTTTTTAAAAAAAGGTAAAGGTCCCTTTTCCCCGCCTTTAGGCGTATAGGGCATATAGGGCTAGACATATATTTCTATAGACTAATCGGCACAAGATGGGTTATGTGGTTAGCATCACGCGGGCCGCCTTTACTTCCCGGGACTGCACCTGGTACCCACTCAAGGCTGGGTCGACCTGGGAGTCAAGATCATTTTTGAAAAAAAGTCCGGCTCCGCCATGGATTAAAAACAAATGGACACGAAAAATATATAGAAGAAGAACATTTATAAAACAAAGCCGACCTATGTAATATTTTTGGAGAAAAAGCAAACAGAAAAATAGTTTGTGCAAGGAATAAGTTGCAATGAATAAGGTGTAAGTGAACAGATAAGGTGTAAGTGAACAGATAAGGTGTAAGTGAACAGATAAGGTGTAAGTGAACAGATGAGGTGTAAGTGAACAGATAAGGTGTAAGTGAACAGATGAGGTGTAAGGGAACGGATAAGGTGCAAGTGATCAGATAAGGTGTAAGTGAACAGATAAGGTGTAAGTGAACAGATAAGGTGTAAGTGAACAGATGAGGTGTAAGTGAACAGATAAGGTGTAAGGGAACGGATAAGGTGCAAGTGATCAGATAAGGTGTAAGTGAACAGATAAGGTGCAAGTGATCAGATAAGGTGTAAGTAAACAGATAAGGTGTAAGTGAACAGATAAGGTGTAAGTAAACAGATAAGGTGCAAGTGATCAGATACGGTGTACGTGAACAGATAAGGTGTAAGTATATAGATAAGATGTAAGTGAACAGATAAGGTACAAGTGAACAGGTAAGGTGTAAGTGAACAAATAAGGTGTGAGTGAACAGATAGGGTGCAAGTGAACAGATAAGGTACAAGTGAACAGATAAGCTACAAGTAAACAGATAAGATACAAGTGATCAGATAAGGTGCAAGTTAACAGATAAGGTACAAGTGAACAGATAAGGTACAAGTGAACTGATAAGATGCAAGTGACCGTGTTGAGAACAACCGATCATGTCCTCGTTAACTTCTGATGTGAGTAGCAACTAATCAGGCCAGTAGAAACTGTACGAGGTACGCTCCACTGCTTCACTTGTAGCCGACAATCTTTTATAATTACATAACATGTTTATGCATTCAAACAGGTAAACATCGTTTCATCCCATGAGCATTTGACAAAGTATTGCTTCGTCATTAGACCTTCTATTCATTTTTAGGCAGTAACATTCAAATAATACGCTTAATAATTCATAAAATATGGCACAAACGATAAACATATAGAAAAAAAAGCATTGCATCATGATATAGCAGGTGCATGTGTATATACAGGACCATGTTACCGCAAAGGCATGTTGGCCTGTCCTCTTGAGGACCAGCGCCTGGCGCGTCGAAGCCACACACACAAAAAAAACATCGGTGGGGGGGGGGGGGGGGTGTGCAGCCTTATCCCACTAACACAATTTAGCCCTAATGCACTCAAAAATTGTTGGGGGGGGAGGGGGGGGGTGTTGTCCAGAAGCCTGCGCCTTGTGTAAGTATGAGTAATAATAATAATAGTATGCTGGGCGGCAAAGAATGTTGCGATTTTTGAAGGGGAAACAAAATTAAATGTTTAAACAAAACCTTCAAAAAAAAAAAAAAAATCTCTGTACATGGTTCCGATGGGTTGGTTGATGTTGCAGCCCTTATATTTCACAGAGGATAGGGCTAAAGGAACTGAAGCCCCCAGGCGCACATGTTTACAATATTATGGAATCAGTCGATTCTAAATGATTCGCAGCAGGCAAATGGTTTGCATATCTGTTACTATAATCAGATTATCGGCAGATTATCGCTCACCAACTCTCATTCAATGCATTAGGTTTTCTGCCTGCCCCCTCCCCATCCATCTCTCTCTTTCTCTCTCTCTCTATTTCTATTTCTCTCTCTCTCTCTCTCTCTCTCTCTCTCTCTCTCTCTCTCTCTCTCTCTCTCTCTCTCTCTTTCTCTATTTCTATTTCTCTCTCTCTCTCTCTCTAATGCCACAAAACTGAATTTTAGAAGGTTTATTTAAATATAAGTTTCATGTATAGAAAATAAGTTTTTTTTTTAAATTGTGTGATTAATTTAGTATGCTGCACCCGATGCACTGCCCTGCCTAAGTGCCCTTAATGTCGCTAATACGACTATGCTTAAATATAAAAATGTACAAAATAACAAGAAGACAATATCATACAATAAATAATAAACTAACAATATTACCATCTGTATATCATATATACGGTTTAGTTAAATAAATAATATCAATAATAACATAAAGAAGAAGTCTTGTTCATAAAGCTCTGTGAAGACTGTCGAGCCCACAACCAATGAATCAAATTCCATGTCCATGAGGAACTCTTGTGGTCTGGCTACTGTAACCGTTCCTGGATCTGCTGCGGCTGAAACTGGGCGAAATGGGCGGCACTGGCTGTCAGCTGCTGGGGCATGGCGTAAGTGTACCCAGCCGGCAACCCGACACCGTAGCCGGCACTGCTGACTGTGGTTGTGTAGGGGCTGTAGGCCTCATAGCCGGCTGCAGCAAACTGGGCAGCCGTTGCAGCGCTGTATGCAGCGGCGTAGTCAAACGTATACTGGGTGGGCGTTCCTGGTGATAATATATTTATATATAAATATATATATTTAAATGAACATAAGAAGCATTGGCAGTGTTATCAACAAAACTAATTGAAAATAATATGTCATGATAATATTCGCAGGATTCTCCTTACGAATATTTTGGGGAAACAAGATCATAAATGAAGAGCTTGGGAAGGAAACGTTATCAAAGAAATAGTAAATGGTATGGGAATGTCTGCAGAATGCCTGGTGACACTTTGACAGGGCCAGCTATCCGGCGGACAGCAGATAGGGGGAAAAAAAGAGACGTGAACTACCTAAGGAAAGCCGAAGAGGGACAGCAGCAGAGGCGATTCCCCGTGTGGGTTCCGGGACTTCTAATGTTATGATCATCATAAAGTAGGCGTAGGCGTTGATACATCTCCACAGATCTCGGTCTTTTGATTTCTGGATCAGTTTTACTAATAATATTCCTTCATGCCACTGTCTAGTGGACTGCCTCTGCCTTTTCTACTCGTGATCTTTCACGATATTTTTTTTTTTTTTTTTTTTTTGGCTTTTTTCTCATGACATGACAAAATAAGTTTGTCTCCTTCTCATTGTTGTACATAATGTTTTACTTTCATTAGCCATTTCCAGGCGATCATTGTTAGTTATTCTGGCAGTACAATGTCTTCGCAACAAGAACCACATCTCAGTTGCCTAAAAACTCTTCTTAATTTGTTTGTTCACATTTCAAGATTCACTACCATACATCAGAACAGGCTCGATTTACATTGCAGTACTAGTTTTCTGATGTTTAATTAGAGTGATTTATTACATACGATACTTTTCGTCTTCCAATTGCTGCCTTTGCCTGGCCAATTTTGCTCTTAATTTCTGAGGTGAGCAGCCAACCCTACACAATGGACGAGTCGCGACTTTGACTTCCCTCGCGCTCAGTCAAATTTCAAACTTAAACCCGTCCGGAAAGGTATATAGTCCCTTATATTGATATATACCTTTATCTGGTAATATACTCATTTCTAGACCCTCTAGTTGCTTTGATAAATCTTCATTTTCAAACTTGCAACTGTAGGTTGACGATTTCTGGTAATTTATTTAAAAATTCCTGTAAACCGGTTTACTCCTTGAGCAGGAATACAGGGGACTTCTTTCCTAGAGACGCTAAGTTTGATTTTGAAAAAACGCTCTTTCACCTGATCCCAAAGTGTCAAGACGTGTATACTGTCTATGTAGAAATTAACGCATTCAAAGTTCCATTTCTATCTTGGAAGATTTCCTAAGCTTGGGTAAGTTGATTATATTTGACGAATACCATAACTAATGTCTTTCTAAAGAAAGTTGGCCACTGCTGCAGAGAGGGCAGAGTCAGCTGTGTGATCGCACAGAGTTCGAAAGTTCTTGATGTCCAGAGATCAAGCTCCGAACATTAGACCTTCCGCTGTACAGACTAATTAGTTGGTGCTCTACATAACCCACACTATTTGTAAAGTTATTAAACCCTACAGGTAATTATTCTCTGACCAGTCAAACGAAGTTTTGGCCGCATAACAGAAATAAGGAATCTAGGTCATATTTAACCGGTGAAATACTGTGCCGTCAGGGGGAGGCGCTCTGAGTCAATGGTGTGTTTGACACAGATTCAGTGGGTGTGTAGTGAACGACCTGTGGAGTCGGAATATATATAGGTACTAACTGTAAACAATGTATGTTTGCGAGTGCAGATGTGAGGGTGGAGAGAGGATGATCTATGTGTAGTAGTGTCTATCTATCTCCACTATATACCTTGTTTTCTATCTGTTGTACTATTTTACAGACATATAAATGAAAGGAGACATTGTCTCCTGTTCTTGAGAGTTACACTCTGAGGATTGGAAAAAGGTGACAGAGGTGGGATGAGCTGGTGTGTGAATAAGGTTGATTACTAATTCTGAGTTCTTTCCTGACAGGATGATACCTCCTTAGAGATCAGGCAGACGAATCACAGTCCAGCCAACAACCACCAACCCATGCCAGTCTGTGCACCAAACAGATCCAAAAGTCCTGTATACGGTGCCACTACCTCAACATGGCAAGAGCTTGTTTGTGAGTTCCAGGACCAGTGGACAATTGCAGACACCTATGTCATCAATCCAGAGAACCAGTCTTCGAGAGCTTTGTTGGGCTCTTATGCAGTTGTTGTGTCACCACCTGTGAGACCGGCAGTGGGCATCACAGTCTCCAAGAGCTTTGTTGGGCTCCTAGGCAGTTCCTGTGTCCTCGCTCGTGACAGTCAGCTTGTACCAGATCAAATCAAGACCCAACTACTGATTGAGTCAACTACAGTCGAATCACCATGGACTGAGGGGAGCATTGACCTACGAACTGGGCTAAGTGATCTATTATTCACATTACATGCTCTCTTTCCACAGCACCTTATAAGTCCGATGATGAACTTATGTACACCTCAAGGCTAAATCTGGCTGCTTCAATATCTGGGTTGTGTCATTGTTTCCTGAGCTCCATTCACTGACTGTTGTTTATCGATTCATTATTATATGTATATATTGTACTGATTACATGCACAAATTTTCATGGCTGACTTGGGTGTCCCTATTTCACCATTTTAACTGTCTAGCTTTGATGCTTGTGTGAGTAATAAGTGTTATTTGTGTTAACATGGCTATGGTAGTATACTATCATAACCTGGGGGCTACCTTTTTATAGTAGTGGAGGTGTCCAGCTAAGTGTGCCTACGAATAATATATATTGTGTAGTGCCAAACTTGAGTTGCCCTACTCCTGAAATAAGTTGAGCGTATATTGGCCACGGGGCATCCCTTAGACCAATTCGAGCCAACGACTCAATATAATTATTTCAGAGTGCTGTTGGTTCTTAAGGAGAAATCCTTTAATCAGGCACGCGACAGGAGCGATATGTGACAGTCACACATGGTCCATCTTATGTTATGAATATCCCCAAATAACTGGATTTATTGACACGGTAAAGCACTTTCATTTCAATTGCTATGTCACATTTTGAAGTTATCTTCATTTTCGATATAACCATTGTTTATTTTTTCTTGAATTCAAAAAAAGTCCTCTTTTTGCATTTTTTTTTTAGTAACACAGCATTGTTATAGAGTTTATTAAAAACAATAAAGCCAATTAACTTCATCTGTAAAAATATTATTTAAGTCTAATAAAAACCTAATGAAGGAAATACTATTGAAATATTTCACTCCAATGTCAAGTCTGTACTGTTGTATAGAATTACATAATGACTAATCAGAACAATTATAAGAAGAAAATAAAACACTTTTATTAACTGGCGCCTACGTAAGAAAGAGAGAACTAACTAAATTACCTGGTATGTTAGAATCACTAATGTGGAGCTTTGAGAGAGAACTAAATAAACTGCAGTGAATCAAGAGGTAGGGTGAGAAGACCAGCTTTGGATAGGACACACTTTGAGAAAACCTGGTGATAATATTATTAGAATGTCGATGGGTGGGACTCATGGAGTCAATAGAATTTACACACATTCATACCCCCTCACACACACACACATACACACACACATACACAGACACACAATGAACGCAATTAGAGAAGTAAAAAATTTTAGCTGCACGCCAAAATATCGGATTCTTAAATGGGTAATCAGTAATCATACATAGTGAAGAACAGGACTTGGTGTTGGTTGGCTGAGGGCATTCCCATAATCTTTTGATACTCTCGCAACGTATACAGGCTTGCTGGGAAGCGAACAGGCAGGCGTATAGGCTGGTTCTCTAGCACTTGGTGGTGAATTTATGCATGACAAGCTAATACGTTTAACCTCTGTGGGAGTGTGTCAACAGGGCGGAAGCACAGGTAGATCATCACGGTCTGAAGAAAATAGTGCAGCAGGAAGTGGCCAGAAAATATGGCCAACACTCACATGCAAAGCAAAACCATCATGCAGTCAGATATACTTTCAAAGTTGAAACTGTAACGGCTGCTAAAGATGCGGACGAAGCGGTAAACCACTAAGGGACAATGGCCAGAAAAAGTGAAATAATCCAGTGACGTTCCGTTCACTGGACGTGCCTTTCTTTATAACCCCATGGATGTGCCTTTCTTTATAACCCCAAAGACAGCAGTAAATCCACATTACAGCGATCCTCGATTGTGTAGTTGGAACACAAAAATAGCGCATTTATTTAACGCCAAAGTGTTACAGTTGTACGTTTAGATTAGACATACACATGCTCTTAAGACGATGGCATTTATTGCTTTCTAGGTTCTAATTCATAAAAGTTTTGATTGCTATAGTTTTTGCAAGGCAATAATGTGTGTATTTGTCATCAATGACATCCCCCTTCCATCGCTTGCAAACAGTGAACCTTCACATGCAAAACTTCTCACTGTACTTAAGTTTGCAGAATCAGTGTCAGAGCAGATGCTAGTGCCGTATGGGACGGATATTAGGAAAACCTGAAAACAGTTTAACTTGAATGTCTTAACACCGGAACCCACGTGATCAAAACATATAGGCAAACAAAAATAGACACCGATAAAGGAGATGGAGAGTTAAATAAACAAAAACAAAACATAGGGACGACAACAAAGGAAAGGGTAATTATCAGTGAGTTGGTTGAGGGAATATTCTCCAAGGGGAGATGACCAGCAGAAGAAAAACGACACACAAAAACTTTTTCCCGTGACAATAAAGAATGGACTTAAATTTAACATGATATGCAGGCACTAAGGAGACTTTAAATCATTCTCATAAGGCATCAGAAAACGAGTATTAAAATATTATATCGAGCCTGTTTTGTTGTATGGTAGTGAATCTTGGAATGTGAGCAAAAAAAATTAGGAACAGTATGGATTCAACTGAGGTGTGGCTCTTGAAAAGAATGTTGAGAATACCTTGAATGACCAACATTGATTGCATGGAAATGACCAATGAAAGCAGAACATTATATACAACATTGAGAAGGAGACTAACAAAGTGTTTTGGTCATGTAATAAGAAAAAGAGCAATGGAAAATATCGAGACGACTGGAAAGATCGCTGGAAGAAGAGGCAGAGGCAGACCAAGAGAACTGATGTTGGATGGCTTAAGACAATGGCATGGAGGAATATCATCAGTAGAATTGATGCGGAACACCAAAGACCAAGATCTGTGGCGACGTATGAACGCCTACACCAGCTGGCAAGGCGGTTGATGATGATGACGATGATGGAGACCTTGCATGCTTACCTGCAGGAGTTGGGGACAGCGGACTGGCTGAGGGCATGGTGGCAAGGACGCCCGGGCTTGTAGCTGCGGCTGTCAGGTAAGAGGCAGGATACACGTACTGGGCCGGGTATCTGAAACAGACACACACAAAGCAGCCAGTCAGAGGCGAGTGTTTCTGGTTGGTATATGTGGTGTGTGAGGTATGTAGCCAGGTCGCAAGAGTTCATTGTGTATGTCGTGTCCGTTCTTTGGCTGTTTTGTGTGGGGGCTGTTGTCTTAACTTTGTCACAGAGTTTTATGGACACGGCTTTTTCCTGTACATATACATCGTGTGTGTTTTGTTGTATACATGATATACATACAGATGGTCAGGGCATTTTGCAGGCGGTTTGCAACTATACCCACTACTGCACCATTTTTGTATGCGTATTTATTTTAACAGTGTACTAAAATGTTTATATGAGGTTGTAGGTTATATTAGCGCCCCTGACTACAGCCGGGATATGAGGTTGTAGGTTACATTAGCGCCCCTGACTACAGCCGGGCTGGGGCTTTTAAATAAGGAAAAACTGTGTCCAACTTTCAGACGGAAGGGTATCCTACAGCAGTGGTGTGAGTAAGTCAGTAAACTTTACCCAGCCAAATCATCACACCGAGCGATGAACACAAAGTGTCACCATGTGGATGAGGATCACCCTTGGAGAGGCCCCAGAAACCCCGTTCAACCATTAAGTTATATTAGGGCTCCTGGCAACAGCCAGGGTGGGGCTTCAGGATAAGGAAACATATCATCCCTCAAGAGGATGAGAAATACAGTATAACCCTGCTGTAATAAACACTCCGCGGAGAGTACTGTTCGCCCCCCCCCCCCCTTTTTTTTTTTATCTCTTTTTCTCAAGAAAGTGAAAAGAAAAAACTGGCGTATATTATAATATTGCTTGTCCATTATTCATGTATTACTTGAAAAGATAAACCCAAGATATCCAGACCCAAAGGCGAGCATCTAGCCACAAGGCTACTGCTACTAAGAGAACAAACAGTTGCTAATAACCAGCGAACATTCATTGATTAGTGTTAACCAAGGTCAGCTGGTAAATGTGGCAAGTGAAAACAGCGCCGCAACAATTGTGAAGTCTTCTCCCTTTCATCTGTTGTCTCTTTAGGGTTTTTTTTTTTTTCATCTCTAAGTACCCTCATATCTTGTCATCCCTTTGTGGGATGTAATTTTTCGTTATTTGACGCCCTACTCTGGCTCTTGCCAGGGGCCTCAATGTCGTCTAATGGCTGAACGCGGTTTCTAGGACCTCTCTACGGGTGATCCTCATCCACGTGGTGGCACTTTGTGACATCGGGTGTTTATCGCTTGTGTAATGTCCTGGTGGGGTAAAAGAAGATAAATAGATAGATCTCTAATTTGCTGCGTATCCTTGACAGGACGTCGCAGAACCAACACCAGCATTATTTAGCTGTTGTTGTTGGTGTGTGTTCTAGGCACATTTACCTGACCTAGTTTGCTATTGCTCACTAAACGGTCAGCTCTTGGTACCACTGTGGAAACCAACAGGCTTCAACCTGGGCTGCTCGTTGCAAGAGTCTGGACACAGAGGAGGCCAGACTACCAAAGATTCTCTGTTTAACTTATCATTTATGTTGCCTAGGAAACGTGCCAGCAGTTACTTTGCTCTGACGAGATGTATAAAATCGTACTTGTTAAAGCCATTAAAATGAGCGGCCGATGAATTGCAGCTGTTGCTGAATATATGAACTCATCCTCATCATGTAGCAGGTCCTTTGCAGAACGTCGCTCTCATCACAGTCTGCCTGAAAGAAACTCAGTCTCGCCAGTTCTCCCGCCTCATGTACTTTCATGCTAAAGGAGTCACTTATATCCTGTGCCCATCTTCGTGTTGGTCGGCCCCTGCCCCTCCTTCCTAGTACCATGCCTTCTGCTATATTTTTCCCCAATCCGTTTTGGCGCTTGATATGACCAAAATATTTCAGCTTCCGAGACAGGATGCTGTTTATTAGCCAATCTTCCTTGATGTTCAGATCTTTCAAGATGTCAGTATTTGTCCTCTTTATCGTCAAAGATATTCTGAAAATCTTTCTTAAGCCTTTCAGCTCAAAAGCCCCTATTCTCTTTCTTAAGGACTTGGAGATAGTCCACGACCCACATCCGTATGTTGCTACAGGGAAGATATTATGAATTAATCAAGTAACAGAAAGTATTGTGAACGGCACTCATAGAAAGAAGTAGAAAGATAGAAGAACACACTAGACAACATAAAAATCGAAAGCTATAGTTACCGTGCCGGGAATTGAACCTATCACCTCCAGACGGCGTCTGCGCCTCGCCATGAATACAAGTGCACTAAGATACATGGTCAACTCGGCACCCCCAAAAAAAGGTGTCTCATTGGCCATGTCTATCGTACAGCTTGAAATCCACGACTATGGAATACGGACAGAATTCAATTCAACCCATTGAAATGGCACCATAGGTTACAGAAATTTATATTAACGAGGCAAATGTCAAATAACAATCACAGCAACAATTTACGTACACAGTAGACCTTATTGCCTTGTCTAGAATACACAAACATTTAAGAAAGGTTTATTACAATTTATTACAAGCATCAGAATGAGACAGTCATCATGTTTTGGTAGCGTTATGAGAGGAAGGAAACTGCAACATGTTGTGACCACTAGATAGAGAGAGAGAGAAAGAGAGAGAGAAGACGACGAAACAATATTCTTAACAGACTTTAGATCCCCAGGTGTATTAATGACATAGTATACTAGACTCAAGCAGTATAAGACCAATCGACATTCAGTGAGTGGTATCGTATCATCATGTAGGTCGTCTTTACTTCACAGGAAATTAGCTGGTACCCATTTTAGGTTGGGTCGGCCTGGTAAAAATCGACCTGGTAACCAAAATCTATTTTGAAAAAAAAAAAAAAACAACAACAACAACAAACAATATGTTTTGATGACTATTTGAACCCTAGACATCAAGGGCCAACAAGCGAGTTTGTAGCCGTTACGCTACAGCTGCTTGCCTCAAAATGCAGGACACCTTTATTTTCCGCAACATGGATCTCTGACACAGTAGCTGCATTTGCTTGAGATGTAAAGAACACAGCAGACAGTTGTATAACAAACGAATCCAGGTGTTGGCAGGTCTGGGTAAACTACGGCAGCCGGTTTATTTTCGAGTCATTCTAGGTGACCCTAGTTCAATGTTCGGTGTGGAGGAGCAGCTAGCATAATTGTTAGAACATTGCTAGACAAGGGCTCTAATTATCTTTATGGTGACGGATAATTGTTTCGTTCTTTTCGGGGTTAAAAAAAAAATCCTAACCCGCACAGTTAGGGACGACTTCACTTCCCACACGACCCGGTCTCTACAGGTTAAAAAATAAAACAACTACCCAAATGCAGGAAGTAGGGACAGTTTTCCGTACTATGACAGATATCATAGAATACAAACATAGAGGGCAGCATTCTAAAAGGATTATGGACGCTGTAGATTTATTTGCGAATCAGGCATATGGAGCATAATTACTGACAAATCTGCGTTCGATGGATTTGAGGTTCAACCACTATTCCCCATAACTTTAACTGGTAACTTCAACTGGATAGACCTGGGACTCAAGGTGATTTGCGAACATTTCCTCTTGGTGTGGATCTGAAATAAAGGCTTCGGGCCGGATGGCAAACGTCTAGCAACTGTGCTTGGTCCCATGCCTCAGTGGAGCGTAGAGGTCATACAATAGAACCTCGCTTAACGAGCACCTCGCATAACGAGTAATTCGCATAACGAGCAAAACAAATTGTAAAAAAAAATGATTTGCTTAACGAGCGACGTTTCGCATAACGAGTGGCGAGGAGAGGGGAAGTCCCGAATTGTGCGCAAGTTTCATCAGTCTGTGTTTAGCACTCGTTCCATCGTAGTCTCTGTCACTTATGATCACACATTTTCTCAAACTTGTGTTATACTGTGATATATGTACATGAATCCTTCAGGCCTACAAAATGACCTCTCTGAATAATTTAAGTTCATCAAGATCCAGTTTCTGCCTCCCAACACCACTCCTTTACTCCAGCCCTTGGACCAGCAAGATATTTCTATCTTTAAGAAATTCTGCACTAAAGCACTCTTCGAGCATTATTTTCAGGGGACTGAAGTGACCAACCTTACTCTCAAAGAGTTTTGGAGAAAAATCACTTCCACATCGTTGCCTACCTCAAGATGATCGACAAGGCGGTAGAAGGGGTTAACAAGAGAACCCTAACTTCTGCTTGGAAGAAGCTTTCGCCGGAGAGCTTTGTCTATTTGTGACTTTGAGGAGTTAGAGACAGTACCTGTGAAACCTGTAATCAACAAGATTGTGTCTTTGGCCACTATCATAGGGTTGTAGATGGATAACAGTGATATCGAAGAGCTTGTGGAAGAGCACAGCCAAGAGCTGCGTTTTGGAGGAAAGTTTGTCAGAGGAGGAGGAGATAACAGAAAAGAAACAATTTTCTGGCGAAATAAGAGAAATGCTGAAAGCATGGCAAACATTTGCATCTTACATTGAGAAGCATCACCCTAATAAGGAAAAAACTAGGCGCGTTGTCAATTTATTTAATGATAATGCTGTGTCGCATTTTCGCAAATTTTGAAGCGTCGGCAAAAACAAATTTCTGGACATCTTTCCAGTAAGAAGATTGCATGAGTACTGCCAAAGATGGAAACTCAAGGTTAACTGTGCAAAGGCGGTCTACACAATCTTTACCAAAAGCCACCAAGTAGCAAGGAAGAATATTAACCTGAGGTTAGACAAACACCAAGTGATGAAAGAAGAGCATCCCACATACCTTGGAGTCACACTTGACCGGCAGCTCAGCCTCAAGAACCATATTGAAAACGTCAGGAATAAGGCATTGAGGCGGTTACAGTTATTAAAGAGACTTGCAGGTACATCGTGGGGATCAGACAAGGAAACTCTGAGGGGCTTATATCTAGGATATGTTCGTTCTGTGATAGAGTACAACAACTCACTGCTTACAACTTGCTCCAAAACTAACCTAGAGACTCTTGACAGAGTACAAAATAATGCCCTCCGATTAATCTGCGGAGCTA